GAGCCCTTTGCTCGGGGGGGTCCTCTTGGCACCCACGGTTCCCCTTCGTTGCACCCCCCAGCTCTACAACCTCTTCCCCACCATCATGAACCTCCTGCCCGGCCCTCACCACCGCCTCTTTGAGAACTTCGAAGAACAGAAGCGATACGTGGCTGGGGTCGTCCAGAAGCACAGAGAGACCCTGGACCCGTCCTCCCCACGGGACTACACCGACGCCTTCCTCATCCGGATGCAGCAGGTCAGGGCCGTGAGCGGCAGGGGGGGGGCAAGGGATTAGCGAACCCCCATGTAGACACCCTGAATCTGGTTTCGTTCCCCCTGCTCCCGTGTACCCCCAAACCCAGTGGACGGCGGAGAAACGCCCTCTCGGCGAGGGCGAAGCGTGCCGCAGGGAAGGGGCCGTTTCAAGGAACGGCTCCACGCAGAAAATGCTTGGAAAGTTGAAAACTGTCCAGAGGCCCCGTGTCCACATGGAACAAGTGTCCGTTTGCCAGCGGAAAATGAGATTTTCCTTTGAAGTAGGAAGGAAAATCCCAGACGTTCCATCTGTTTCCGAGCGGTCAAAATCGAAACCAAACGAGCCGCTGGACTCGGCTTTTCGGCTCCTGGGTACGTTCCCAAGGTGGACAAACGGGGAACGTTTCCACGAGGCTTCCTGCCCAGCTCGAGGCTGGCTCGGGCGCCACCGCCCGGTTGGGACCGAGCTCAGACCCACCTGGAAATGTCTCTGGCCGGTTTCTGGGAGAGCAGAGAAATGTGGAGGCCAGGAAGGGTCTCCAGGGGGCTGCCCATGGGGGCGATCCTGGTGGTGAGTGAACTTGGGGCTGGGGGGGCCATGGCCCAACCCCGCCCATGCCACCCAGGACCCCATGGGAGCCAAGCGCCCCCACTGTGAGGGCAAACCAACCCTACCCCAGCGGGTGGCGTGTGGCCCCAGCCTTCCCGGAGAATGGGGAGGGTGGGGGAGGACAGAACAGAAGGGCTGGTGTCAGGCTCCAAAGCCCCCCAAGACGTGCTCCAGGGGGCGGGGTGTGGGCGGAGCTGGAGGCGGGGTGTGGGCGGGGCATGCGGTTCTCACGGCCCCTCCTCCGCCCCCTGCCTCTCCCGGAGGGAAACGCT